TAGACTTTCTAGATTTTCTAGATGTTTGTATTGTAAGTCATCCTCTCCTTGGATTCTAGATTGCCGTTCAACACAGTAAGATTGAATTACTTCACTTGTTCAGAATTTATCATCTTTTAAGGAGAGAAAGGCTGATATGAAGGGAAATCAACAGCGTAGACATGAGAAACTTCAGTTTCTCCCAATGAACTTGGGACTTGCTTTGTTAGTAAATGAGGGAAGTGACTAAATGTTTATGTAAATTACATGACTATGTTTGTGACATGAGTAAATATAGACCAAATTTGGTGATATATTTCCAGGGTTTATTAGTTGTCGTCAAGATTGGCCCCTGATTTGTGAATGACCTGGGAATGACATATTAGCTGAAATGGAAAAGGATCTGGGAAAAGAAAACCAGGCTCAGGTGTATTATGTTACTAGATCTAGATCTGCAGGTGCATACATAAAGCCACCTTTCCATACACATTCCTAAAAACTATCTCCCTGATGAAAATTAACTGTACCACAGTGTAGAGTTAAATATAGTCTTAGACATGACTTGAAAGTCTAGATCAGAGACCTAAAAAATTATTGGATCCAGCCCCTGCTTTCAGACAGGTAAGGTATCATCAACTGCTTTTTATAAGTTCAGCGACTGAGGTCTTCAGGTAAGTACTCTTTATTGAAACAATGGGACTCTTTCCATCAGGCATATGGATTTTCTTCCTATTTAGAGCAGACTTTTCTGGCCTCAGTGGACATGTCAGAAACTTCTTGTACTCAAAAAAGCCCATGAGTTGATACATTTATGTGGCAAGCAAGCCATTGCTTTAAGGTAAAATTTCTGATATAGAGCTAGTGTCCTCAGTGTACATAGATATTTAGAGATGATGTCAGACTACCTGTGAAGAATCACACAAGTGGCAACTATGAGACATACAGGCTTAAAGTCATAGAGGTGGATAGTGAAAGAGCCCCCATATAGCATCACGGCTCACTACTCAACCAGACAGAGAGGGGAACAGACTGGAAGAGATTATTTTCCCAAAGACAGAGCGAAAGAACAGTGCTCAATCAAGATTTGAGTTTAGTACTCCTAACTCCTAGTCCAGTGCTCTTTCTATAATTAAGCTGTCTCACTCAGAAAAATGATTAAAAAAAAATGACTACATCTTTAAAAATGACAAAATTATCTGCACTAATATTTGTAAAGAATAGAACCTGCTACCATAGTGTCACATGAAAAACTGGCTTTGATTCTGATGTTTGATCTATACTGATAATGAACTAAATTGTAGTGTTTCATGTTGTATTAGACATTTGCCTCTTAACCATTTGGGGAATTGTCTTTGAATAGATTTTTTAAAAATAAAACAAAACTGTGTTAATGATGCCAAATGGTTGATACAAATCAATGCTGTAATAAGCATTTTTATATACTTTTTTTCCCTAAAGAAAATAATGGCTCATCAAAAATATCCCAACCTATCAAAAAACATCAAGTACACTAGATTCCTTTCCTTTTTTTCAACATCACCTGTCTACCTATTCAAAACAAAGTTGAAAAGAACTGGATTATGTCAGGTTCTCAATTACTTCTTATTGATTTAAACATTGAAAGTAAATAACAAGCTCTATGTATTAGTCATAGTCAAGGTTGGCCCCTGACTTATGAATGACCCGGGAATGATATATTAGGTGGAGTAGGTAAGCATGTGGGAAAAGAAAACCAGGCTCAGATGTATTACGTTACAAGTTCTAGATTTGCAGGTGTGCGCATAAAGACACCTTTCCATAAATGGATATTATACCTGGTGTACTGTGTCCTTTGAACAAGAAGTGACTCAAATTTAAATGCAACACAGTGGAAACTTCAGCCTGGTCAATGGGAGTAAATGTGCCCCAATACTGCACAAGGCACACCAGAACCTAGAAACTTGATTCAGTCAACGGCATGGGGCCAGTTTTGCTAATAATACCAGTAAAAGCTGCATTGCATCTTATCGAAGAAGTCCGAGAAAACAAAGCAAAACTAACTCTTCAACTCACCGTTCCTGTTGTGCCCAATGAAAGATGATTCATCTGTTGCGTCAGGGGGCCCATCATGTTTGCTGGCTGCATTGACATAGGATGGTCCATTGTCGGCGTAATCACAGCACCCTACAAGCACACACAATGTCCATCTGAAAACAGGTTCCACAAGGGAGGAAACTTTTAAAAACAATAAACACAGTCAACTACCTTAACATCAAATGTGTTTACTTTTTAATGAAAAGGCTAAGTTCAACCATGTATGATTTTTTACATCACCCATGCCATTTTGTTGTTATCTAAATAGATAGCACTAATGACTTCCTTTTCCTTTAATGTGATTTATCTATGATGTGTCTAAAATGCTTATCATTTATAATGCCAATATTCAATATAGAATGTATTCCAAGATATCATACATATCCTCTTTCATTGTTCTAAATACAAACTTCTCTAACTGAAAAACACTAACACTATGGAAATTATCTAGTTTTTCTCAATATTAAATAAGACTTTTTTGGCTTATGCTTTTATCCATGATTTATATGGATAATTATTGATGATCTCAATACAATCTACCACCAGAGTAACAATGCTGGTCCAGATGAGTTTCTCGACTGGATCTTTTGAAGGACAGATAAATATCTAGTACAAATGATATAAAAATCAGACTTAGTATTTTCCATGTTTTTTCCTCCTAATCTTTTGACCTACTTTCTTTCTATCTGGTGCTTTTGAAAAAGATAGAATACTGAACTCTGTTAAACATTGGTCAAATGTAACACTGCTAAAATATTACCAAAAAAAAGTCAAGTTTTTCATCGGATGTTAAGAAAAGCCTACTTGTAGAATATGCTCTTTGATTTATTATAACTGTTGGGAATGCAAGAAATAACAGACATTTAAAAAAAATTCTGTTCATATATATAGTTTCACATAGCTAGTGAAGCAAAGGGCAAATGCTTCCTTTTCCCCCTCTCCTACTTACTCTGCCTTAATTGACTAGCTAAGAGAATAGAACAATTTTTTCTTAATTTAAAAGCTAAGGTTGGACGGCATCTTTGAGATTATTGAAATTTCAATGCTTTATTATAAAGATGATCATACACGTAGAAGCCCATGATATCACAACTCATTTAAATACCCACTGGTAATAAAATGATGATGTATTTGAATGCTATTTTTTTTTCTGTAAACACTTTTTTCACTGTTTGACTTTTCTTCCCATGTAAGTGAACATTTTGAAGAAATAAAACTAGGACAGATTTATGTAGACGGCAGGATGTCAGCACACAAACCACCCATAAGCAAATGTTTCTGAGAACGTTTTGCTCAGGATGATCAATTCCTCCTGGCATCATCCAAACCTGACTTCCTGACTGTATCTGTTAAAAAAAGATCAGGCTTTCATTCATCCTTCCTTGTGGGCTCCTCCTCATTAATATGGAGGGAGAATAGAAATTGAGCCAAATATTTGGAAATGCTTCATTTTCAGAGCCAACATTGTTTGCAAGGATATTTGCGGTTTGCTAGACTCAATCAGAAGTATATATATATATATATATACTTCTGATTGAGTCTAGCAAACCGCAAATATCCTTGCAAACAATGTTGGCTCTGAAAATGAAGCATTTCCAAATATTTGGCTCAATTTCTATTCTCCCTCCATATTAATGAGGAGGAGCCCACAAGGAAGGATGAATGAAAGCCTGATCTTTTTTTAACAGATACAGTCAGGAAGTCAGGTTTGGATGATGCCAGGAGGAATTGATCATCCTGAGCAAAACGTTCTCAGAAACATTTGCTTATGGGTGGTTTGTGTGCTGACATCCTGCCGTCTACATAAATCTGTCCTAGTTTTATTTCTTCAAAATGTTCACTTACATGGGAAGAAAAGTCAAACAGTGAAAAAAGTGTTTACAGAAAAAAAAATAGCATTCAAATACATCATCATTTTATTACCAGTGGGTATTTAAATGAGTTGTGATATCATGGGCTTCTACGTGTATGATCATCTTTATAATAAAGCATTGAAATTTCAATAATCTCAAAGATGCCGTCCAACCTTAGCTTTTAAATTAAGAAAAAATTGTTCTATTCTCTTAGCTAGTCAATTAAGGCAGAGTAAGTAGGAGAGGGGGAAAAGGAAGCATTTGCCCTTTGCTTCACTAGCTATGTGAAACTATATATATGAACAGAATTTTTTTTAAATGTCTGTTATTTCTTGCATTCCCAACAGTTATAATAAATCAAAGAGCATATTCTACAAGTAGGCTTTTCTTAACATCCGATGAAAAACTTGACTTTTTTTTGGTAATATTTTAGCAGTGTTACATTTGACCAATGTTTAACAGAGTTCAGTATTCTATCTTTTTCAAAAGCACCAGATAGAAAGAAAGTAGGTCAAAAGATTAGGAGGAAAAAACATGGAAAATACTAAGTCTGATTTTTATATCATTTGTACTAGATATTTATCTGTCCTTCAAAAGATCCAGTCGAGAAACTCATCTGGACCAGCATTGTTACTCTGGTGGTAGATTGTATTGAGATCATCAATAATTATCCATATAAATCATGGATAAAAGCATAAGCCAAAAAAGTCTTATTTAATATTGAGAAAAACTAGATAATTTCCATAGTGTTAGTGTTTTTCAGTTAGAGAAGTTTGTATTTAGAACAATGAAAGAGGATATGTATGATATCTTGGAATACATTCTATATTGAATATTGGCATTATAAATGATAAGCATTTTAGACACATCATAGATAAATCACATTAAAGGAAAAGGAAGTCATTAGTGCTATCTATTTAGATAACAACAAAATGGCATGGGTGATGTAAAAAATCATACATGGTTGAACTTAGCCTTTTCATTAAAAAGTAAACACATTTGATGTTAAGGTAGTTGACTGTGTTTATTGTTTTTAAAAGTTTCCTCCCTTGTGGAACCTGTTTTCAGATGGACATTGTGTGTGCTTGTAGGGTGCTGTGATTACGCCGACAATGGACCATCCTATGTCAATGCAGCCAGCAAACATGATGGGCCCCCTGACGCAACAGATGAATCATCTTTCATTGGGCACAACAGGAACGGTGAGTTGAAGAGTTAGTTTTGCTTTGTTTTCTCGGACTTCTTCGATAAGATGCAATGCAGCTTTTACTGGTATTATTAGCAAAACTGGCCCCATGCCGTTGACTGAATCAAGTTTCTAGGTTCTGGTGTGCCTTGTGCAGTATTGGGGCACATTTACTCCCATTGACCAGGCTGAAGTTTCCACTGTGTTGCATTTAAATTTGAGTCACTTCTTGTTCAAAGGACACAGTACACCAGGTATAATATCCATTTATGGAAAGGTGTCTTTATGCGCACACCTGCAAATCTAGAACTTGTAACGTAATACATCTGAGCCTGGTTTTCTTTTCCCACATGCTTACCTACTCCACCTAATATATCATTCCCGGGTCATTCATAAGTCAGGGGCCAACCTTGACTATGACTAATACATAGAGCTTGTTATTTACTTTCAATGTTTAAATCAATAAGAAGTAATTGAGAACCTGACATAATCCAGTTCTTTTCAACTTTGTTTTGAATAGGTAGACAGGTGATGTTGAAAAAAAGGAAAGGAATCTAGTGTACTTGATGTTTTTTGATAGGTTGGGATATTTTTGATGAGCCATTATTTTCTTTAGGGAAAAAAAGTATATAAAAATGCTTATTACAGCATTGATTTGTATCAACCATTTGGCATCATTAACACAGTTTTGTTTTATTTTTAAAAAATCTATTCAAAGACAATTCCCCAAATGGTTAAGAGGCAAATGTCTAATACAACATGAAACACTACAATTTAGTTCATTATCAGTATAGATCAAACATCAGAATCAAAGCCAGTTTTTCATGTGACACTATGGTAGCAGGTTCTATTCTTTACAAATATTAGTGCAGATAATTTTGTCATTTTTAAAGATGTAGTCATTTTTTTTTAATCATTTTTCTGAGTGAGACAGCTTAATTATAGAAAGAGCACTGGACTAGGAGTTAGGAGTACTAAACTCAAATCTTGATTGAGCACTGTTCTTTCGCTCTGTCTTTGGGAAAATAATCTCTTCCAGTCTGTTCCCCTCTCTGTCTGGTTGAGTAGTGAGCCGTGATGCTATATGGGGGCTCTTTCACTATCCACCTCTATGACTTTAAGCCTGTATGTCTCATAGTTGCCACTTGTGTGATTCTTCACAGGTAGTCTGACATCATCTCTAAATATCTATGTACACTGAGGACACTAGCTCTATATCAGAAATTTTACCTTAAAGCAATGGCTTGCTTGCCACATAAATGTATCAACTCATGGGCTTTTTTGAGTACAAGAAGTTTCTGACATGTCCACTGAGGCCAGAAAAGTCTGCTCTAAATAGGAAGAAAATCCATATGCCTGATGGAAAGAGTCCCATTGTTTCAATAAAGAGTACTTACCTGAAGACCTCAGTCGCTGAACTTATAAAAAGCAGTTGATGATACCTTACCTGTCTGAAAGCAGGGGCTGGATCCAATAATTTTTTAGGTCTCTGATCTAGACTTTCAAGTCATGTCTAAGACTATATTTAACTCTACACTGTGGTACAGTTAATTTTCATCAGGGAGATAGTTTTTAGGAATGTGTATGGAAAGGTGGCTTTATGTATGCACCTGCAGATCTAGATCTAGTAACATAATACACCTGAGCCTGGTTTTCTTTTCCCAGATCCTTTTCCATTTCAGCTAATATGTCATTCCCAGGTCATTCACAAATCAGGGGCCAATCTTGACGACAACTAATAAACCCTGGAAATATATCACCAAATTTGGTCTATATTTACTCATGTCACAAACATAGTCATGTAATTTACATAAACATTTAGTCACTTCCCTCATTTACTAACAAAGCAAGTCCCAAGTTCATTGGGAGAAACTGAAGTTTCTCATGTCTACGCTGTTGATTTCCCTTCATATCAGCCTTTCTCTCCTTAAAAGATGATAAATTCTGAACAAGTGAAGTAATTCAATCTTACTGTGTTGAACGGCAATCTAGAATCCAAGGAGAGGATGACTTACAATACAAACATCTAGAAAATCTAGAAAGTCTAGAAAGAAACACTTTATAAATCCTACTTAGTTGAATCAAAAACAAAACCAGCTGACTTGCTGAAATTCAGATTTGCCAACTAGAAAAAAATACAAGAGCTAAGTTAATTAAGAATATGACTGAATCCTTTAGAGAACTGAAAAATAAGCTAAAATATATAGAACAGTTTCAGAATTACAATAGTGGCTGATTCAATAACATATATTATGATTAGTATTTAAGCATTTCAATAAGAACGCATTTATATGAGATCATAATTTTTGCCCAGCTAATAATAGTCAAGTTACTCAAAAATTATATATACTCCTTCCCTTTCTTAGAGAGTTTTAAGCAGGTGGCTCATTTTTAACACCAAATTTCTTCTAATTTTTTTTTCATTCTTTTCCTGCTTCACATTTATAATGAATAATGCTTAGGCACATCATAAGCTTTGTGTAAATTGATGTTTTACCAAGGGTTAAAATTCCATAAGGTTCTGGAAAGCCAGAGAGAGAACACTATTACTTTGTTGACGTTTAGCGGTGTCCAGAATATGGCTATACTTTTTTCTCAAACTGTCACTCTTACACTTTGATATACCATCAGAGATTCCTTTTATCTGAATTTTTGATTGGCATGTGTAGTGGCTATTATGCAATTGAAATGGATTCTTTTAATCAAACTTCTCCACCTTACTGCATCTTTTCCATTGCTTTATCTATTGCTGGGAAGGTGGCTTGGTATCATGGAAAGAACAGTGGGCATTAGAATTAAACCTGAGTTCAAAGCCAGGCTCTGCCCCTTACTAGCTATGGTGTATTAGACAGGTTACTTAACTCTCTGAATTTTGATTTCCTCTTTTACCAAGGAGGAAAATAATACGTATATCCCAGTGGTGGTGTGTTAAATGGAATGATATACATAACATACCTAAAACCATGTGCGACACCCGCTAGATGCTTATCAAATGAGCTGCCTTTATCCCTCTACCTCAAGTGGCTTCATAATGTGGCCATTATGTTCATTAATGTGGCCATTCAGTCTGGGTCGCCAGAAGGGATATAGAACATTATCAAGGTCGTAGTACAAGTCTCCGGCCCACTCTGTTTCATTTGGCATAAATTATTTTTCTCAAGTTTCTATTTCCTTAGCTTCTAACTTTCTCAGGATGGTAAACCCAAAAGTCCAGAGAAGCCAGCTAAGTCACATTAATGAATAAAGCTGATGGGAGATCAAGCAAGACAGCCTGGAAACATGTCAAATTTGGTCTAGATTTATCATGTCACAAACATAGTCATGTAATATAGGTACACATGATATTGGAGATTATATCTTAAATGAGAGATATTTTCATGCAATAATAGTAACAGCTCTGTCTGAGTGTTAGATGAATCAATCATAGGGAGAAGGGGTACCTTGGCAGCCTTGTCTAAGGAAGGCAGCCCCGGCTCAACTCCAGAAAGCTATTGCTATATGGTTATACTGACTTAAGGTGGCCTCACCTTCCCATTTTTTTAAGCTAAGCTAAATATTTGCACTTTAACAGGCAATCTCCCTGTATTTGAATATCAGTCCCAGTTTGTCCTAAGTGCTCTCAGTTTGTGACTCCTGCCCAAGGTTTTCCTGGTTCTCCTCTGATGTCTCTGGCTATTGCTTCTTCTTTGCTTCTATAGGCTGCTAAGCCAGGGTTTCATTTTTAACTTCTCATTCATACATGATTTCCTTAAGCAACCTCATCCACTTTCATGGTTTTGAACTCTGCCTTCTATGCTGAAGACCCCTAAAACTGAGTCCTCAGTGCTAACCTCATCTTAGACTTTTTAAAAATCACTTAACCAACAACTTGCTAAATAGCTCCATGTAAATCTCCTTCCAACATCTCAAAGTCAGTACAACCCAAACTAACCTCATGAGTTTCCCGAACTTCCTTTCCACTGACCCTCTTCCTCTTCCGTGTTTCTGCTCCTTATTTCTTCTCCAACTAATCCCATGACCATTTGCCCAGGCAGTCCAATGCTACACTTAGGACTCAATCTCAACTCTTTCCTTTTCCCTCACCACGATGCAACTATTCAAGATCCACCAGTTCTGTCCATAGACGTTTGTCAACTACATCCCTTCCTCCACGTTTCTAGAGTCTCTACCCTGGGCCTCATTTGATTAATTGTAATAGTCTCCTAACTGCCCTTAGCTTGCTCCAATTCATTTTCTACCATGTTGCCACATGAATGCCAGTCAATTTAAAATTATCTGACCATGTGTCTTTCTTACCTGTAACTTCTTAGAGGCTTTCAGATGTCTGAGCTCACAGAAACTCTGCAAGACAAGGTGTGAGCAGTGACAACTCTAGATTAACACGGGAACCTCAATGCCAGAAACATGTCCCAAAGGCAGGGCAGAGAGAGATCCAGTGAATAATCCTAGTAGGCAGGGATCAGAGTTGATATGGGGTGGAGCCAGATTAGAATTTTCCATTTCTAGAAAGGGGAACAGGTCATGTCCCACTTTGCTTTCTGAGATCCCTGGGATCAAGAAGTATATTAAGCCAAAGCCTCTTTTTTATTGTCATAAAATTAGATATATTTGAGCCCCTATAATTCCAAATTTTGAAATGGGTACCATGTAGTTTGACTAACCTTTGTCTACTATTTGCAAACTCAAATGTTTATTGTTGAATTCTTTGCCCATTTTTAAGCTGGGCAGAATCTGCAGGCCTTAGGAGAAATGAATTGTATGCAAGCAGTATAACTTCTATCCCAGGACTCTGCTGACCTTGAAGAATTTTCTAACTTTACTGCTTTTATTTATTTATTTATTTATTTTTGTCGTAGGATTCCCTCTGTAGAACCAAAGCACCATTATCCATAATTTCTTATCACTCCATTGTAAGCTTTAGCAGAAACCACTGGGGATTTTACTGTGTTATGAGAACATCCAAACTGCATGACAATCTTGTTTGACAAGTTTCTTATCTCCTTTTCATTTGTTCAGTTGGTGGTCACCAGTGGCTTACAATGTCACCAGAATCTGTTCAAAGAAATAAAAAGTTTTTGTTCTGCATGCTCCTTATCTGCAGTTCTGTTTGTGCTCTCGAATCCACTGGTGATTTGTGACATCACTGGAGTCCCATGGTGTAACCATAGCCACACACAAAGATAATCTTCTAATTGTAGTCCATTTGTTCACCATGGTTCTCTACATTTTTCAGTCACACCATTCCATTTTTAATGCTATAAAATTCTGACAGTGTCAGGTGAAAATCCTGAACTATTCGTTTTGCCTGGAGATTTTCTTTCCTCAAGTATTAGCTATGAATATGAGTATTAAGATTGACAGTGATAAAAAAAAAGCAACATAAGATGTTAAGTGGACTCAGGATTAGGAACTAGTATTACAAATTCATAACTGGTAATGAGTATACTTTCAGGAAAATGTATCAATTAATTAAAAATAGACAAACACAAGAAATAAAATATAGAAAAAGGGAAATAGTTCTTAAAAATTTATTTAGTCTTAGTGTAAGATAATGAACTTTGACGGTAGTCTTATAAACAGTAAGTAGGCATTAAGTGAGATCCTATTATTAGGAAAGTTTATCTGCAAATATTAAGCTTTTGCTGCTTAAGAAATGGATTCTGAATTGAAATATGTTACAACAGAGTACAAAAGCCCCAATAGATAAAATACCAAAGCACATGAACGGATAGGTAATAAAGGATGAGCAGGATGCCAAAACACATATAAAAAAAGTAATTAAGGAAACAGTAATTTAATCAAATACTTACATGGACATATACACATAACCCATCGAATGAAGTTATCAAAATAAAACACATCGCTGATGAAGGTGTGAAGAAATAAACATTCTCAATCATTGACAGTGGGATGATAGAAATCTAAATTTGTAAAAATGTCAGTTGAATAGCAAGTCAAGACACTTCAAAACAGCTCTGCCAATTCACCACGCAGTTAGAGTTTTGAGAAGCTATTTTATAGAGATATTCTAAATAACAGAAAAGCCTTTAAGCCTCAGAAATATCCAGCCCTGTGTTCTTTATAATGGCTAATAAAGAAGAATGATTGAATAAATTATAATCCATTCATAAACCAGAATGTGAGGCAGCATGAAGTTATGAGTTTAAAATAGGAAAAAGATTATTTATTATATTAAATCAAAAGAGCAGGATATAAATTTGCACATGTGGAAATACAGTATCAACTATGAAAAAAAATTATGCAATAAGGCTATAAGAAATACAAAATAAGTGTGGTTATTTCCAGATGATGAGATTGGAGATAATTTTTATTTTAATCATTACCCTTTTCTACATTGTCCAAGTATTCAACAATGAGCATGATTTACTTTTGTGATTTATTTTTAAATGTTATAAATATATTCTTGGGAAATGACTAGTGACAGGGTCATAAAATCAATTTTTTTATTTGTAGCAATAATATGTGATTGAAGTTTTTAAGGTACTAGGAAATACTATCACTATTAATAAAATGTTTGAAGTTCCTTTAAAAATGATTCTACTTATTCTCGATTTGGGATTACAATGAACTCACATTCACATACCTGTTTTGAGACACCAAATAACTCATGTCCAAGGTTTATTTGCATTTGAATCTTTGATGCATGTTGGGTTTTGCTGGTCAAAGTGCCTTGCAATGTCCAAGTCTTAATCTGTCTTCTCACATGCCATTTGCTCATGAGAGAGGGATTAACATCATCATTTTAGGGCTAGGAGATTAAATGGAGACATTTATGATAGTCCAAATTCAGTTATCAAAGAGGTGGGAAAATGAAGTTTGAGGTTTTTGTTTTTAAAATGGAATGAATGATGGTCATGTGTCTAGAGTAAGGGTCACAGAAAATCATCTATTTAATCATGTTTTGGCAGTTTATTTGAATGTGAGTACTATCTGGTCCCTTTTACACAGTTTGCCCCTCTAAGGGAAATTAGGGCTAGATGAGCACTTTCCATTTTTAGAAGGGGGGCCTTGGGCCATAGGCCATGTCCCACTTTCCTTTTTAAGATCCTTGACTAAAGGAATTAGATTAAGCCGAAGTTTCATCTTTTAAAAAAGCAGATATATTTGGTTTCACATAACCTGAAATTTGGAAATGGATGTCACGTAGTTTAAATTAACCTTTCTCTACTATTTGCCCCTTCCAAGGCTATGACACTTTGGAAAAAGACAGCAATCATCTGTTGAATAGATTCTGCTCTGTTTATCTCTGCTCTCATCATTTTAGCCCACAAAGCTTCTTGGCCTTGCCCAACAGCCACTGGGATCAGAGCCAGGGCTGAGTGATTACTAACAAAATTCTGATTTCAGAAATGTATCAGTCTCCATAGAGTGTGGGAATATGCACATTTTTTATTTATCTCTTTTAAAATTTTAGTTCTTTCTTTTGTTCTCCAGAATTTCGTTTCACATTGTGTTTTGGGCCCCTTCCAGATGGGCTGTCTTTTAGAACATGTGTAAAAATTTCACAGCGATTCTCCCAAGAGGGGCCAAAATGATGACAGAGTGAGGAAGATGACAGAATCCTAGGATAGAATGTACTGCCCTAGCAGGTCACACGGGGGCCTCACAACATATACCCTGTGGCAATACTGGGGACCGTTGTATCAACTGTCAACTAGGGGTCATAGTGCCTTGAGCATTTGAAGGCAGGGTGTTTAGGCAACCATATGACATACAGTGGGCACTTCCACGTTTTAGAGCTAAGATTCTATTTTATTTTCTTTTGTACTTCATTGCATTCTTTCTCATGCTCTTTTCATTCAAAGATTCAGTCCCAAGACAGGATTATGATACTCCACCAGCTGTTGTGTCAGGTAGGAAAATTCTAATTCCTTTAAGATTTGATTGGAGGGGAGAGATGGAGGTTGCCTGGTTTTCTCCAAAACTCTTTAAAGCAGTGATTCTCAATAGGGCTGGGTATAGGAATTTGAATTTCAGTTCTGGGACTGACAGTGGGATAGCATATGTGGTTCAAAAAAGTTTATCTTTAATACTCCAATCTAGTTTTGCATATGGAACATGAGTATGTTGCTCTTGAAATAAAATATGAAAGCTCAAAGATATTTGGTTTGTGAAGAATACACAGAAAATAGAGTCTATGTTCTGTGTATCAGTGATTCTCAGTGTGAGAAGGATTCATCAGAATTTCTGGGAAGTGGGAGAAGGATATTTATGTTTATCAAAAGAGGGCATGGATTAATAAAAACTAGTTTGAGAAGCACTGCTTTAGAGACCAGAATTCTTCTGAAATCAGAAAGTCATTCCATTTTGCTTGCGCAACACCCAGCGTAGTGTCCGACACATAGTAGGTTCTTGATATAATTGTTTGTTGAATGAATTGAAAGTTCAAATTTGTTCTATAAATGGTATTTTGAATGTTGGAAGAGAAGCTGCCAGTGTTCCATTTGTACAACAAAGTGGCAGAGATTGATTTGAGAATGCATTAGCATCTTGAGGATTTTAATTAGCAACATTTAAATTGTTTTGTAAAATTCAGTGGTACACTTTGTAAGGGGTATATATATATATGAAGAGGTTGGTTTTTATTTGGAATGGCACAGATCCTCTGTGCTTTCACTTTAATTTCGAATTTTGATTTCTTGCAAAGAGGAAAATGGGCACGATTTTTCATTCTTGTTGACTTTTTTAACTAAATAAAATACTGGCAGCCTGAGGAGCTTTGAACTCTTTGATCCTTTGATGTGTTAGATGATGAGGACATAAAATCTAAACCAAGAAGGACATTGGTGTGACAGAGCAAGAGACAAAGGCCAGAAATAGAATGAAAGAGCCCAAGGGGCAGTAAAGTCTGGCAACTGAACGGTGGTTTTCAAGCAGAGAACACTGTGTTCTTGACCACCTGGTTTGCCTGACCCAGCATCTGAAGAGTAATCCGTTTCTCATGTCTTGTGGACTTGTTTAATTATGCTCATGGCTGAATACGCATCTTAAAAGTTCAGTTGAGAAACAATCAGTTAGCTCTCAGCTGTGAAGTCACTTTGGTCCTCTTGAAAACTCTATAAATTGTCATTAATTAAAATATCACTGATCTTTCCCAAAGTGTATTACCGGTCATAGCTTAACATGCCTATTTCATTTAGGATATGTGATGCTTGGAAAGGGAAGATATTGCATTCAATGCATACAGCCTTGACTTTTTAAAATATGTGGCTTCCACTCTTGATAATTCACCAATATTAATCATAGTGGAAGACAAAAACTGGAACTTGCCTTCAACTAAGTTGTATGATTTCACTTTCAAGAACGAAATTAACAAAAACAACAACAAGGAAACATCAAAAGCATTTGCTAGATAACAGTCATAGGTAGGGCTCTTACACAAATCAATTGAGGCAGGACATCTGGCTGCTTGGAGCTCTCACCTAGTTCCATAGACAGACAGGTACCACTAAAAGTTCTTCAGCAGAGAAATTACTTGGTCAAAGTAGTGCTTGGAGAAACTTAACCCAGCAATTTTGTGTGTGCTTAAGGAACAAAAACAATAATCACATAGAATAGTTAGAAAAGCCAAGTATGATATCACTAGGAAAAAAAAAAAAGTGTTACTATCCCAGCTGTAGAGTACAAAAGAAGGGACTAATATGGAAGTAACAGAAAAAATAGATGGGGGCAGGATGGGAGTGTTACAGTCCCTTCCCCCATACAAGTTTGGATTGGTGGTTTGACATATTACGAATTTGCACAGACGTCTTTGGCATATTTGATCTATAGCTAAATGAAAATAGACTACTTACCTTCCAGAAGTGTGTTAATTGTCCTGGTGGGCACAACTTGAATGACTTCTGAAAAATAGCGTATCCTTTGCCCAACCCTTGACCAAATAATAATAAATTCTTTGCCAGTGTTGAAGCTGACAAAACTGTCATAATGCACCTGAGTTCAAGATGTCTGGTTGGTAATCTACAGAGACATAACCCAACCTAATATCATTCGATCAACCCATCAAATATTTATTGAACACCTTCTGAGTGCTAGGCACTACACGCAAGTACTTGGAATACAAAGATGAGTAGAAAATAGACCAATGTTAAAAAATACCATGGTCTAATTTAATGTTGTTCTTCTTATTGTCATTGTTTATGATGTTTAAATATATAATGTATGAAGGAACTAAAATCTAGAATCTAATAAGATCAGGAATGAAGTAAATTCTGAGCTGGATTTGGAAGGATGATAAGATGTTAGCGGTTGGGCAAGAATGGGTAAGGTACATAATGGGAATGGGACAGGATATGTAAACTCTTAGAAATAAAGGTGTATGAGGTGATTAGATGATAGCAAGTCACTTGGCATTCTTGGGACAGGATATGTAAACTCTTAGAAATAAAGGTGTATGAGGTGATTAGATGATAGCAAGTCACTTGGCATTCTTGGGACGAAATGTCACAATACAGGCACCGAGGTTAGGTCAGTGTAAATTTGATTTTAGGCAAAGGCTCATCTTTGAGTCACAAGTCACTTTGTTCTTTTATTTACTCAAATAGTATTTATTGGAAACATATCATATAGCCATCATTGTGTTGGGTGCTAGATATACAACTTCCTTCTAAAAACCTAAGGTTGAATTAGGAATTCAGGTACAAACAGGTGATTATGACACAGTATCAAAGTGTTTCTATGTAGACAAATTTATGATGTTTAAGTTTATAAATTTTTCAATAAGGTGCCTAAATTCAGAATCTACTTATGTCACAAGTTCTAGAAACTTGGGAAATTTGCTTATATTAGTTATCTGAGAAAATAGTAAAAATTATCTCATAAAGTTGTTGTATTAGAGGTGTTAAGATATATTAGCCCATGGGGCACCTGGGTGATTCAGCTGGTTAAATATCTGACTTTTGTTTTCAGCTCAGGTGAAAATTCTGAGGGTTGTGAGATCAAGCCCAGAGTTTGGCTCCGCACTGGGTGTGGAATCTGCTTAATACTCTCTCACCCTCTCCCTCTGCCCCTCCCCCAATGCACCCACACTCTCTCTTTCTAAAATAAAATAAATAAATAATATCTTTTTAAAAAATATATAGCCCACTTAGAACAGATCCTGGCATAAAATAAGTGTTCAAGTGTTATTAGCAATAGCTATACTAGTCATTCTTGTTACAAGGTGCTATGATGGCAAAAAGAAAAAAAAAATCAACATATAGCAGAGAAGTCAGAAAAAGGGGAAGAAACCTCTAAATGGAGACATAAGAGATTTAGGGATTAGTCAAGCAAAAAATAAGTTGGAGAAGGAAAATTTCAGACCAAGATGGCAGCATTATAAAGGCTCATGGGTAGCAGGACATAGAAAATTCAGGGAACTATAAATGGTCCAATGGCATAGAAACACATATAGAGAGACTGGGAGTGGAGAAAACAGGCCTGGAGAAATAAGCTGGAGCAAAATAAACAGATATGATTACTTGAGGTCTATCATGATGGCAGTAAATGCTAAATGGTTTTAAGTTGGAGACTGACATGACCCTGGATACAGTTTAGTGAATACATTGAGACATAAAGAGACATAAAGTTAGACAAGGGGACCAGAACTCAAGAACACGAGCCCAAAATGAAGTCGGCATTTGTTCAAGATGTGGAAATGAGAATGCAATGCAAACCTACGATATATTAACTGACTGGCTGTCAGAACAGAAAGATAGAGAAGAGTTAAAGGTAGTTCCTTAAGTTTCTGGCAACTCAGTGGCCTGAGGTGTCATTTGCTGTGATCTGAACCAGAGGACAGAGGATCAAGTTTGGCAGGAAAGAGACCAAGTTCAGGACTGTACGTGTTGAGCTTTGGATGTCTGTGAGGCATCCAAATCAAAATAATCAATAAATATTTGGATGTGTGTGTCTGGAACGTAGAATTCTGAAGCTGCTAGCTAGAGATGAATTTTAGAGATATCACCATGGAATTAAGTCATGTTACCCAGAGAATGTTCTTAGAATGAAGAGAAGTAGGCAGATCCTTAAACATATAAAATGGGCAGAAAAAGAAGTCCAAAATAAAGATTGAGAAAGACAACTACAGACATAGAAGGAAAACCAAGATTATGAGGTTTCAAACAAAGCCAAAGTAAGAATGCATTTCAAGAGAGGATTCTCCAGTAAGATGAGTCCTTAAAAGAAAGCCATTGGATTTAGTTACATGGAAGTCACTAGCCAACTGGATGGGAAAGGTAGAAACAGTGAATGTCCTGTATGGAAGTAGATGCAGCAAGTGCCAGAAACTTAACAGATTTGGCTTTGAAGAAGAGTAGACAAGATAAAACTAAAAACAAATGGAGAATGGAATTGACTGATGTTCTGATTTTTTTTTTTTAGATGTTTTTAGATGGGAAATATTTGGTCATGACATAAAGGAGCCAGGAAAGTATTCTAAAGTTTGAAAATGTCACTTATAAAGGGCATGAGTGAAAGAACTAGGTCACTGAAGAAGGCAGACATCTCTTGTGGGAATGTGGGAAGATAGGAGGAAGGCTTGATATATGTACTTACAAGTCTGTCAATGTAGGAATAGGATATTAAAGGATTATTATGAGATAAATACTATTTGTTTTTATGTGAAGTATTAAGTGGCATCTTCTGAGAACAAGTAGGAAATGGTATGAGTAGGGATTTAAAGAGATTTGGAAAACTGTGAAGTAAGAAAGCGAACCACCAATATATACAAAGTTTGAGGGGCAGTAGTGGAGATCCATTAGAAGCTAAAGATTATGGATTTTTGTGTTGCCAATATGTGAGGATGTTTGATTTTCTGCTGTAGTGATCAGTAGCCAAGAAGGCAGACAGGTAGATTAATCCAGGGCTAAGGTTT